ATGTCTTGAAAAAAGTCGAGAGAGCTTTTTGTTTTGTGTTTTGTCTTTTTCACCTTTTTCCCCCAAGTCATAACCTCCTTAGAGACCCAGTCTGCCCTGATCTTCTTAGACTGTGTGCAAGAAGAGGGGCATTGTGATCCTTAAAATCTTGTCAGTTCCTCTGGATGTTGCTTCCACTGGGAAACTGCTACTCACATAAAGTTGTTTCCACGGCCAATGTGCATAATGTCACATAGTGAAGTTTATCCACTGTCTATCCTGAGGAAGGTGAGAAGATGGGGAGATTGTCATTGTTCAAATTACGTAACAGAAGAAAGTGATAATGAATATCAAAACCCAAAGCATTTATTAGATATAACATATCAGAGGTAGTGACATATTTGTAAAAGAGGAAAAAGGTAAAACAGAAAAGGAAGAATTCTTTTCCATGTAGGATAATTCTATCCACTAATACAGCTAGTCTGTGATTATTATTATTATTATTATTATACAAATAATGTCTTATGCTTTCAATAAATGTTTTTAAAATTCACTTTAATTAATACCAAGCAATAACTAATACTAACTTAATATATTAAATCTGGAACATATTCCAAGACTTTATCACAAAATTAATACAAAACTGTGTGTTTCCATTTCTTTTAAAAAAAATAGAGCCTTTTGTGGAGGTAGTATCACGTAATTAAATTGCATTACGTTCATGTAATGCAACGTAAGAAATATGGGAACTCCAAAATTGACAAAACTACATCTAAAATAAGCATAAGGAATGAGGATGTGTCTCCATGGTGATGTTTTTATCACACTAGATATTTATGCTGCATATGAAAAAGCAAGATGACTCCGGCAGTGTGAAAGCAAATTTAGGAAGCTGAAGGATGAGTTATTAACCACAGCAAGCATGCACAGTGTATGATCACATCTATTTCAACAAGAAAGGCAACATTATAAAAAGTGATGACCAGGGTGTGTTTGTGGAGCATTTCAACATTTTCTGTGTTTGATACATTCTTTAAGGCCTGTATGAAGCCTCCTGTAGAAAAAGTTTCCTATGTACTGTAAAAACAAAACAACAAATAACAAACAAAACAACAACGGAACCCACTGTGATTTGTGCAATCACAGACAAGCTATCGAGAGAGGTCAATCAAGCCCAACTCAGTTATATTTTTCAACTTTTCCATGCTATTGGCAATATTTCACTACCTTCCCTATTAAGCATTGAGGTAAAGATAAAATTAGAATCTTTGTTTATGGGAAGTTAACACGGTAGCTATACAGATAAAATATATAGATATCATTCACGGTAGGTATGAACCCTACAGCATGAATCATACAGTGACAACTTTAATCCCTTTTTTTTTAAATACACAATTTCATGTAGCCTGTGATGACTTGTAAGTCATCAAGTAGCCAAGGCAAGTCTTTTTTACTGCAGACACTTAAGCACAGAGATTACAGGTGCACACCACTATCACACCAGGTACAAAAAGTCTTCTTTAACTAAGGATTCTGATTTTTCTACTGCTTTTTGTTAGTCTCTCCAACTTGCTTTATGTATTTTAATGCTACTTGTAAAATTCAAACATTACTTTGTCTCTTCTATAATTGCCAACTTTATATTTTGAATCAGGCTTTATTCTCTCATGACTGCATGTTTCTATATTACATTCATTAATATATCAGTTGTTCATAAATGTATCAATAATATATTAGCAATTGATGATGTATTTTGAGTTCCTTTCAGGTAGATTTTGTTTGATGGGAGATATTTTCATTTATTTTCATTTTAAGCCACTTAGAGTCAAAAACTTAAGAAATGTATTCAGGCAGCATAGATTTTCTTATTTTCATAGCCGATCTTTGACTTTTTTTTTTGGTCTTTTTAATTTTTTGGTGTTTTTATTATTTATAATCCAGCCATTGGCCCCTCCTCCCGGTTTCCCCTCCAATAGTTTCTCATCCTATTCCTTCTCCCTGCTGTCTGAGAGGGGAGACCTCCCTTACCACCAGGCCTCCTCTCTTCCTGGGGCCTCAAATCTCTCAAGAATTAGGCACATCTTCTCTCACAAAGGCCAGACCAGGAAGTCCTCTGAAGTATGTGTTGGGGTCCTCAGACCAGCTAGTGTATGCTGTCTGGTTGGTGCCTCAGTGTCTGAGAGCTCTCAGGGGTCCAGGTTAGTTGAGACTGTTGGTCTTTCTATGGGGTCTCTCTCCTCTTCTGCTTCTTCAATCCTTCCCCTAATTCAACCATAGGGGTCCCTGTATTTCAGTCCAATGGTTGTGTGTAAGTATCCTTGTCTGTCTCAATCAGCTGCTGGTTGGGCCTCTCAGAGGACAGCCGTGTTAGGTTCCTGTTTGTTAGCACACTATAGCATCAGTAATAGTGTCAGGTCTTGGTATCTCCCTCTGAGGTGGATCCCTAGGTGGCTCCGTCACTGGACAGCCTTTCCCACACTCTCTTCTCATTTTTGTCCCTGCAGTTCTTTTAGACAGGAACACTTCTGGGTCAGAAATTTTGACTGTGGGTTGGTAACACCATATCTCCTCTTGATGCCCTGTCTATCTACTGGGGGTGGACTCTTCCAGTTCCCTCTCTCCACTGTTGGGCATTTCATCTAAGGTCACTCCCATTGAGTCCTGAGTGTCTCTCACCTCCCAGGTTTCTGGTACTTTCTAGAGGGTCTCCCCATCTACCATCTTGAGGCTGCATATTTCCATTCATTCTGCTGGCCCTCTGGGCTTCTCTCCCACCTTCCCCCCATACTCAATGCTGTTTCCTTTTCCCCTCCCCTTCCTCCTCCTGCCCAAATCACCCCTCCCTCTGCCTCCTGTGACTATTTTCTTCCCTCTACTAAGTAGGATTCAAGCAGCCTCACTTGGCCTTTCTTCCTGTTAAAGTTCTTAAATTCTGTGAGTTCCATCCTAGGTATTCTGTACGTTTTGGCTAATATCCACTTATTAATGAGTACATACCATATATGTCCTTTTGGACACTCACTTAGGATGATATTTTCTAGTTCCATCCATTTGCCTACTAAACTCCTGATGCCTTCGTTCTTAACAGCTAAATAGTATTCCATTGTGTAAATACACCACATTTTCTGTATTCATTCTTCCATTGTGGGACATCTGGGTTGTTTTCAGCTTCTGGCTATCACAAATAAGGCCGCTATGAACATTGTGAAGCACGTGTCCCTCTGGTATGGTGAGGCATCCTTTGGGTGTATGCTCAAGAGTGGTATAGCTGGGTCTTCAAGTAGATCTATTTCCAATTTTCTGATGAATCACCAGATTGGTTTTCAGAATGGCCGTACCAGTTTGCAATCCCACCAGCAATGGAGGAGTGTTCCTCTTTCTCTACATCCTCATCTGAATGTGCTGTCACCTGAGTTTTTGATCATAGACATTCTGATTTGTGAAAGGTGGAATCTCAGGGTCATTTTGATTTGCGTTTCTCTGATGAGTAAGGACTTTGAACATTTCTTTAAGTGCTTCTCAGCCATTTGAGATCCCTCTGTTGTGAACTCTCTATTTAGCTCTGTACCCCATTTTAAAAATTGGGTCATTTGTTGGTTCCATCTAAGTTTGTTGTAATTTTATTACAGTTTTATTAAAATCTATCACCTAGTTGTTTTATTTGCTGTATCTTTTCCAAATCATGCTGAAAACTTGAGATTTAAATTGAGAATAATTTTAGAATTATAAAATATTTATGTGGGGGAAAGTTCCTCTGTCTGAATTTTTGTTCTGTGTCTCATATTGTCCACATGCTACATAGTTATAGTGTATTTATTAAAACTAAGAGACTGATCCCAGTGTGCTGCTATTCAATAAATTCAGTCATTATTCAAATTCTACCAGTATTCCATCCATGTCTTTCTTTTTTCCTATTCTCGATTTCAATCTACCACAAGCATTGTGTCTGGCTCTCATATCTGTCTTCTCTGATCTGTGTAAGTTTGTGACTGTGTGTTGTTTCCCCTCAGACAGACAATTTTGAAGCGTGTGCTTGTTAGATAGTTTGAGGAATGTTCCTCAAATTCGAATCTATGTGCTGCTCTCTTGCTTGCACTGGGATTCTGGATTATGTGGAAGAGTATCAATGTGACTGACGTTCCTTTCTCCTAGCTCAGGGTGCCATGGGTTGAGACATTAAACCTGACCCTTAGCAATTTTTCTGTCAGATTCCCCCAACACTCCTCAGGTTATTTCTTCAGTTTTTTTGCATGCATGGTTGAGGTCATTTATTTTATTCTATTTTATTTGCCTTTTGTATTTTTTTAAGTCTAAACTTTCCCTTTTCTTTTTTTCAGCATTGCTTAGATATGGTAATATACATTCTTACCTGATACAATTTTCCTTAATATGTTAACCATTGATAAAACATGTATATTCTGAAACCATACATCTCATTAGCTTTCATTCTGATTCCTTAAACCATGTACTTTACCTCACAGTGTGCACTTACCTGTATAAGTCATTACTTTTATTAGCATTTTTATTAACACGGAGCTTTAAAGTCTATAGAAAGAATCCACTTTTCACCTCTAGCCACCAACCTCATTAAAAGGGAAAGATAATTACACAGTTTGGAAGACCTACATAGTAAAAGGCTTGTTAAAATGTTTATAAGACTTCAGGAGTTTGTCAAAAATTTTAGAGTCGGGTCTATCCGCTCTGCATAACTGTCATCCTGTCCAGAGCAAGCATTGCATGATCCCTCTCTCAAAATTAAGCAACAATAAAGTTTTTTTTTAAAAGGAACTATTCTTTTGAATGAAAACTGGTCAGTGTAGAAAATAGCAATGTTTTATATAAAGCTAGAATTATCATGAACATTGGGGGAGCATAGAATGTGTTTCTAAGGGGTACCAATTCTTCTTCCTCAAGTAAGCAAGTCATAAGAAACTCCAGCCAGCACAAGTACAAGATTAACTATAGACTGTGATGTTAAGAAGAATAAAACAAAAAGCACCCATGTTATTTTTTTAATAAAACTTTTATTTTTTATTTCAGTTGTAACAATTGTTTGAACTTCTCTGTCCTGAGACAAAGAGAAACATTGGTGAAAGAATATAAAAGGGCATTATGCCCTACCAATTAGACATAAAATGTCCAAGGGAAGCTTCAACACATCAATGTTGACCATGTAATATGAAAGATGACTTTCAATAAATAACTGACATAATTTCCAAAACATACAAACATAGCCTGTCACACATGTCCTCACCCTAACACAAATCATGATCATAAACTCTCATCTCTCTGCGCTTCTTGCTGCCCAATACTCTTCTAGCACAGTGGTGGTTGACACTTAACGGTCTCCCAATAAATATTAGTTTAATAAGATATTTTAAGCCTACCATCTTTAAGCTGAACAATCAGAACTGAACTGCCATCGATGAAACACATCCACAGCCTTAAATATTAATGTAAAATAAGAACCACACACTTTGTGGAATAAATAAATACATAAATAAATAGGACCCTCAAAAGAAAGTGTGAAATGTGTTAAGCTAGTGTTGTCAGAAGCCAGCATTCTCCAGACAGGCGCCATCAGAGCAATCTGTCTTCTTTCTCCATTACTTGGGGGTGTTCCTGCAGTCAGAAAAAAAAGAGTTATTTTTACAAACAGTCATCAAAGCCTTTCAGAATTCTCTAATACCAGTCTCTGAGGCTCTAGATGGGACTTCTACAAGTTTACACCTGCACCCAGACTTCTGTACTGTGGGTTCCTGTGGAGTCAGTCACTGGGCTTGGAAAAACCCCTACATCACCACGGGTTAATTTACAAATGTGACTTTAATCATCTCTCACACACAACTCTGTGATACAGCTGCTATTATCTCCTCTGTGGCTTCAGTTCAAGAATTATGTAATATTCAGAGACCTAAGGCTTGGACTCAGGGAAATCTCACTGGCGAAAGAAAGCTGTCGGGGCATGCTTTGCCAAGGATCCCATTTTTTTTTCCAGCCCCTGAAGGGACTTTATAGGCCGATGGCCACTTCTACGACATCTTTTAGGGACACACCTTGCTCCCATCCATTTGCATAGAGGTTTTGATCATGGTGGTGGCCAAGCAGGACACAGTTCTCTAGCATCTGAACCAATTAATGGTCTCAAATTAAGTTCAATTACCAAAGTAATAACCACAATTTTCTGGCCTCCAGATAAACACAGCCTTTCCTTGATAGAATTAATGTTCAGGGGTCAGATGACAGTATTCGCTCTCACACTTGACTCTAGTCTCAAGTACAAACACAAGTCACAACTCACTTTAGCATCTTTTTGACAATCTTCTGAACCAAGGGGGCTTCAGGGTCAAGGCAAGCCTCGCGACCATTCTTGAGTGTGGCTCTGCAGAGAGAAGGACCCACGTGAGGAAGTCTCACTAGGATGGGTGGGGTGGGAGGAGCGGGAGGGTTTGGGAGACTCTGGAAATGGCAAAAGTCGTGCGGGGAGATACTCACATGACTTCGGTTTCGGTGCAGTGGGGTCCTGGGGGCGTCACCTTCAAGCTCTGGATGTTCTTGAGGTGAATCCCTGCCATGGTCTGCAGGCACTGACAGCGCAGCTCATTGACAGGTGCCCCTATGGGAGAAGACAATGGATCAGCAGGACTGTAGGCGGCTGCGCCCACCAGAGGTCCCTCCTTCCCCCATAGCAGTGGGGATACCTACCCATCGCCTGGCGGCTGGCGGCCAGCAGCAGCAGCGCTGCACAGAGAAGCGAGCCGGTGGCTGAGACCATGGTGCTGTATTGGAGTGTGGCTGGAGTCTGGAGTGCTGGAGCTGGTTAGAGGCTCTGAGTCGTGATCTGGAGCTCTAGGGCTCCTGCGAGCCCCTTTTATGCACGAAACTCCAGAGCTTCGGGCCAGGGAAATTCCCGGAGCACAGGGTGTTTCCCCACAACCGGAAAGGACATTGCTCCTCCCCTCTGCTCCACTCCCAAGGATTAGACTCTGGGATTTTTGCTTTTTGCCCCAAAGTCCCAAAGGGGAGGGAGTGACGTGCTTCGCTGGACAAGTGATGGCTCAGGGGGGAGTAGTGAGACTCCAGAGTCCCCAGTGCGCAGGGCGAGGTGGGTCACACGCATTAAGTGCACGTGTGTGCCACGCCACCTAGGATTCCACTTGATACTACAGGGATTTGGGATATGGAAGCTTCTCCTCTTTTGAGTGTTGTAGATTCCGTTCGTGTCTCAGATTAACGCTTTTTTTTCTTTAATAATCTACTGTCTCTTATCCCACTTGAGGATGATTGCTTTTGCCTGCTGTGTTTGTGGTAAATCACAACTGGTGGTTTTTATCAGGGAGGCATGTGAAGAGGGTGAGGAGAAAGATCATTGCCAAGGTTAGGTCCCTGTTTATTTTAGAATGCTGTAGCAATCTCCTCTTTGTTTTCAGAACTCAGGAACTTCCCAAACTCCCGAACTCCCGGTATGGTTCCTGAAACATCCCTACCCTGCTATATGACAGGTCACATTTTGTTATCACTAAGGAAAGTCCACAGGAAAGGGAAAGCTGTGGGTTTTTTTTCTGAGTTGGAAAGGGGGTCCCTGAATATAACAGGCCACAGATGTCACAAGCACCAGTTTAACTATAAAGGACTATGGCTTTATATAACTATTAGTCTATTGGTACAACTATTTTCATGCTATCTAAATCTATCTGTATTGTAAAACTGAGTCTTTGAAAGTATTTTATTATTATTATTATTATTATTATTATTATTATTACTATTACCCAGGCTGACCTAGAACTAGCTATTGAATTTCCAAGCCTTCTTCTTCCACCTTCCAAGTACTTCTTAGACTCAGGAGCCAACACACCAGATAATTATAGACATGTTTGTAACTCTCTATTTAAACCATTTCAGAATCTGTCTGACTGCAACCTTTAGTTTCTGGTTTTGTTGTTGTTGTTGTTGTTGTTGTTGTGTTGTTTTTGTTTGTTTGTTCTACATGTGGAACTACAGAGTCATCCTGACTATTAGGGCTAAAAGTTCAGCTACAATACATCCTCATGGAATGGTCACTGGCAGTTTCTTCAACCTTAAGTAGTTTATGTTTCTCATCTGTAAAAGAAAGCCAACAATAGTATTCGTCTCACAGAACTGATACTAAGATGAAGTGTGTTAGCATCCGGGTGCTATTTAATCGTTCTGCAAACAGCTACTGAATAAAGGAAGCAGAAGCAGTGCCTTTCAACTTTGTTGGCAACAGGTTGAATGACTGCTCCCCTCCGCCATGTCAAAGCTTTAAACTCCAATCCGATAGTATTAACAGCTGGAACTTTGGAAGATAGTCAGATACAGACAAGGTCATAAAGGTGGGGTACTCAGAATAGGATTAAGGCCCAATGGGAGTTCAGAGATTGCCTGTGCTGTGTCTTACTACCCATCCCCTCCTTCCCTGAGGACTCTGCAAGGAAATGGTAGCCATCTGCACAAAAGAGTCCTTCACCAAACACTACATCTCTTTACAAATTTCCTAAGGATAGCTGTTTTGAATCTTACTGTGATAAGAGGATTAATTCCTCCTTGTTTTACTATAGCTGAATGCCACTGTATATATACAAGCTCCAAATCACAGAACAATTAACTCACTGGAGTCATTTCTTAAAAATAGAAGGTCATTGGGGCTGGAGAAATGGCTCAGCAGCTAAGAGCATGTTCTGCTCTTGCAAAAGAGATAAGTTCAGTTGCCAGCATCCATATCAGGCAGCTCACAAACATCTGTAATTCCAGCTCTATGGACATCTAAAGCCTGAAGCCTCAGCCAGCACTCGTGTGGATGAGGAAATGTACTCAGTCAACTTAAAACATTTTCAATCTTTTAAAAGTCTCAAAAATATTCCTCCTAGAACTAATATAAAAGTACCATCAGTTAACATTTGTAAAGTATCCTTGAAGTAAAGGTTACCGAAAGTATTGTTAACCAAAGCAAACCAATAAGATATGAAATTATTAAAATTAAAAATGATGTTTTATACATCCCATTCAGTAAAAGGAAAAACATAAATACAGAACGTACAACAGTGGTTGCCAAAGGGAAAGGGATTTAGAAAGTTATTATTCTTTTTGTGTAGGTGAGTTCATGTGTGCATGTGTGTTGGATGTATGTGGGAAGGTGCATGTGGAGAACAGAGGTTGATATTGGGATGTTTTTCTTGATTGCTTTCCACCTTGATTTCAAATCAGGGCTCCCCATTAACCTCACCAGCTTTGGCTAGACTAGCTGGCTGTGGAACCCTAGGATCTGCCTGTCTCTCCAGAACTCCAAAGTGCTGTGCATAGTGACATGCATTCAGTCACTCTTCATCTTTGTTTTGGTGCTGAGCATGTAAACTTAGGTCTTAATGCTTGCACACCAAGCACTTTACACCCTGACTCATCTTGCCAGCGATGGAAGTTATCGAACAGACACAGGATTTCCATTTATATGATGAAGGCATTCTGAAAATGGACAATAGTGATAGTTGCATAAGACTATATGACTATCACCTAAGATGCAGATTTTTTGTGATAAATTTTATGGATATTTTGTCATGATAAAAATTAAGCAGAGTAAATAAAAATGACTCAAATAAGTAATAAATCAATCTGTTGAGGTTAATGAGTTTCATTGACTTTTTACTTAGCACATGAGTTACAGGGAGTTACATTTTTTTAATATAAAAAAGCCAAATATCCATGGAGATGCTGAGGATAAAGGAAGGTGAGGTTAGAAATTGTCACGCTGGAGTAGGAGAGTAGGTTTACTTTACTGAGGGATCAAGACCAGTGAAAGAGCCATGTGCTCCAGAGGAGTAGCTAGGATTTGGGAAAACAATTCTGAAGGTCCAAAGGGTAGTGGACATTAATGAACCAAAGGATTGCAAGACCTAGGAAGGCCCCGATAGGATCAGAAGGCATTGCATTATACTGCTTCATAAAATACTTGTATCAATTTACACACATTGATTTACAATAGTATTGTATAATTTGAGGATGGAAACAGGATAAAGATATTGAGAATGGAAGTCATAAGCCATAGAGAGGACAACTTAGAAATGACTCCCTACAATAGTGGAAAATGATGGGTCTCCAAGAAATTATTGATTCTCTATGTTGAGTGCATTTATTATAAACTTGCAAGTTCAACAACCAGAAGGACAAAAGGTCATGGGTAAAAGTTTGGGCAAAGAGCTTCCTTTTGTCTGTGTTCTTAGATGTGATACTTTCTGGAGAGAGTGATGTCTGCAGTGGGGGTCTTCTTGAAGACTGAGCTCATGAGTCGTCTGAAGGTTCTGAAATGGAGGAGGTTAAAAACCATGAGAACCAGGTAGGGCAAAAAAAGGACTCTCTCATGGACTATATGGAAGCCCCACATGTAATAGGTATGCATAAAACCAAAAAAGAAAAAAAACATGCTTTTAGGGCACACAGCAATTGGAGAGTGTAGGTGGCTACACTGAGAGTATCCTTGTCAGGGCCTTGAAAGCACTCAGATGTTCTGAAGAGGTGAGAAAAACTATTGTTGGTGGTGCAGGGTGAGGATCATGTCTGGAAACTGCTTTACAGGAAATGAAAACTAGATTGTGGAAGTCGTAAGGATGCAGTGTGAGCAGATGCTAGAGGGCAAAGGAAACGTTGGGGTTAGAAAAGTGAGGTTGGGAACGCTAGGCAGGAGAAATGAAAGGGCTTGCAATTGGGTATGAGACTATCAATCAGAGGTGATAAGTACCGGGCTTTGGACAGTGTTGACAGGCCCAGTGGCTTCTCAAAATGCCCCCTGTCCTTGAAGAATATGTGCAAAGCCCTGTTGCCCTTTTGTGTACCTCTCTGCTAATGTGGTTTGATGTGACCTACTGAATTGTGGGTAAAGAGCAGAAGTTGTGTGATCATATTGGGAAGTTACATTCAGATCCAAGACTGACTCCTGGTCTTAAAGCCTGTATTTCACCAGACAAGAAAATCGGTGGCCAGAAGGAAAGGCAGAGTTGAGAATCTGTATCAAGTCTGTGCATTGTATTTTAGGTGTTTATTTTTCCTTCTTGAAAAATACGGTTTTTTTCTTCTTTTTTTTCAACTATCCAGTTTTTTTCAACTATCCAGTTTATTCTATGAACTACACAGAGATATGACAGTAATAGTTTCCTCCACAGTCCTTGCAGCCTAGAGACCCTCTGCTATGCTTTGAGCGTCTCCTTCCAGCTCCTTTTGAAATTTTATTTCTCTTTTTAAGGGTCTTGAGGAGTGAGGTGGTATCCTTCATGATGTGGTTAGGATACTAAGGCACTGCCTGGTAAGTGGATCAATGCTGTTGTTTTAGAATATGATTGGTTGCAGCAGGCAGTGGTGGTGGTGGTGTTAACAGGGTGATTTAGACCAGCTCTCTCCCTCTCTCTGCCTCACCTGTTAGTTGACTTGCTCCTTGACCATGTTATGGTGCTCAGCATGTCCTTCATCAGCACCATGCTCTGGAACTCACCAATCTCCAACCTCCAGAACAGTAGGAGGTAAGGACATTTACTCTATAAGCAACTCAATCCGTAGTATTCTGTTATAGCAACAGAAACAAGACTGGGGAACTCTTGTGTTTATTTGGCCATCGGAATACCAAGTGCTTCAACCCTGAAATTCTCTGGTATGCACAACACCAGATCAAGAGCTGGAATTCTGGTTGAGTGTAGATGTGTGAGAAGGGTCTAGCCCAGTGGTTCTCAGCCTTCCTAATGCTGTAACCCTTCAATACATTTTTCTCATGTTGTGGTGACTCCCGATCATCAATCTTTTTGTTATTGCTTCATAACCATAATTTTACTAGTTATAAATTATAATGCAACTATCTGTGCTTTCCAATGGTCTCCAGTAACTCCTGTGAAAGGGTTGTTTGAACGCCAGTGA